TATATATTATTATTATTTAGGATGAAACTATTTCAAAAGTTGGAATGACAATTCTTCAAAGTTGTGTGGCCAATATTACTGGTAAATTTTTATTTTTCACCTCATATGTATAAAAACAAAAACATGTTTTTATGAATGTAACCAGCCTATAATTTGTAACCAACGTTGTAATAACCAGGGGCCGTATTCTCATCTCTCCGTTAAGCTTAATGGACCATTAATAAAAAATTTATTTTTAAAGATATTAATTAAAAAGTTCTTTAAAAATATAAATTTTTAAAAATAAATGTTTTATTTTAGTATTAGTTTTATTTTTAAAAATTTAAATAAGATTTTCATCATTTCTTTACTTAGATATATTGTAATGAAATTTCAGACAAAAGCTCTGTTAAGCTTAACGGAGAGATGAGAATATGGCTGCAGCTTAAAATTAATTTGAATTTTTGATTAATTATGAATCAAAAGTATTTACTTTACTGATGATAATATTAGATCAATCTTTCATAATATATAATTGTTGTATTGTACTAAATGGTTTTAATTAGAAATAAAATAGAGTTTAAAAATTTTGGGTTACCAAGTTAATGTATCATTATTTTTATTATTATCATTATTTTTAGATTATGGTGATACAAACGTTTCAGATATGAACCCATCATTTGGTGTTTCAAAGTTACTTAATTTTTTTGGAAATGAAATATTGCAAAAACCCGAGTATAAAAAAAGTAAATCTTCCCACAATAAAACTATCAATTTTGAGGAAAAAGAAAACATAAACAAAAAGCAAAACTGTTCAAAATTAGAACAAAAAGAGAATATTATTAAAATGATGAAATTTAATGTCGATAAAGATGCTTCTAACAAAGGTTGTGAGCAAGAAATGATTGGTTTACTTCTTGAACAAAAAAAAATAATGCAAAGTTTTCAAAAAGACTTTAATAAATTTAAAGAAGAGGTTAAGGCCTCAGATTTATCAAGTACTAATATAGATTTTGAGAAGATAAATCGATCTTTACCAGATGATGGTTTAATGTCAACACCAAAACGAAGGCCTTTGTTATTTTCAAGCAGTACTAAAAGAAATATTTATTCTTTGGAAAATGTAGTTACTTCTCAAGTTTATGACACAAATCAAATACTTGGCAGAACTCAAACAAATTCAAATACTTCTGTTGAAAATTTTAACAATGGAAGTTTGGTATGTGATGAGAGACCAGCTCTTGCAAAAAAACAAGGCATTTCTCACAATATATATCCACCAACAGAAAAGGAAGACAAGATTGATTTCAAATCGATACCTCCTTTTAACTTGACAATGGGCACTATAGAAAAAGTAGAGAAATGGCGTCAAGAATGTCCCACATCAAACTTTCATCAAAATTTTGATGACTATAATGATATTCAAAGTAAATCATTTAAAGTTCCAACAGGTTCAATGATTTTAAAGAAAAAAAATCTGCCAAAGTTTACTGAGAATTTTCAAGAAAATTGTAGCCATGGAAGTGTTACACCATCAATGTGTTTGTTAAGAAAACCAACTGAAGAGATTCAATGTGCCCCAAGAAAACCCCCAATTACTAAACGACGTCGGCTAATTGATTTTGACTTTAAACAGTTCTCTACGCCTGAGCACAATACTAACTGTTTGGACACTACAAAAAGAGCACTTAATTTTGCACGATTTTCTAATCTAGAGAAACTTAATTTTAGTATTAACGGTGATTTAAAATTGCAGTCACAAGCAGATGACTCTGAGTGTGTATCAGCTGCTGTTAAAAATGTTAGTATGCCTAATGAAATGGAAGTTAAAGAAAAAAATTCATCTCAATGTATTGCATGCAATCCATTCAATCGCTTTAATATTGTTTCTGTTAACTCCAGAAATTTATATTCAATACTGAAACAAAGTCACACTTGTCTTTTTCATGAAGAATTTTTGAGAAAATGTTTCAATTGGAAATATGGAACTTTACACTCATCTATGTTTAACATTTCTAATGTTAGTTTATCAAATAATTCAGTTACCAAAAGTATATCAAAGGTACAAAAGAAAAGCTTCATATTTGATGATGATGTAAAAAGCTTTGCCTCACTTGCTTCGGTATTACATTTATTAAAATATTTTATTGCTTGTATTTTACTGTGTTTCCTAAATACGTACATAAGCATTAAACATCAACAAATTTATTATATACAAAAGTTAATCATTCATATAAATTTATATCATGATGCAAACTTATATATAGATTAAACATTACTGCACATTACAGTATTTAGTGTTAATTAAACTGATGACTTTAAACTGATGACGTTTATTAAGTAGTGGAAGCAATGTTTAAAACTAAAATGTATTATGCTTATATATGTATTTTAAATATATTATTCTAAAGTACTTTTTTATTTTAAAGGGGGTGGAGGGGGTTAATGTGGCTTTGTTTAGTCTCATTACTTGGTTTCTCATTTTCTTGTTTCTTGCTTCTTTTTTTAATATGTGAAGGTTTTAGGGATTTTTTTTAATCTGGAAAGGTTTAAATTTTTTTTAATACAAGTTAGTATAAAAAATAAGTTTTGAATTTTAGTTATTAAGTTGTTGTTGTTGTTGTTGTTTTTTTGTTTTTGTCTTTGCTTATTTATACTGCATAATTTATTATTGAGATTACTCTTTGCTGAAATTTGACTTTTAGGTTACTTCATTTTAGTGTAATCTTCCTTATTTTATGTTATCTTCCTCTATTTTATAGTTATAATTTATTTTATACTTTCTATTTAATCCATTTTTAATGTCGTTTAATGATCTCATTTTTTGCGTTTTAATGGCTCATCTTATTTTAATGTCGTTTTATAATCAAATTTTTGAGATTATTAAACAATTTAGGCAAAAGTAGTTTTTTTTTGGTTTAATTCTTTTTATTGCTATATTTATTATTTTGACTAAATAAAAAGAAATGTTATTTCTAGTTATTTTGTCAAACTTCATTATCTCAAAATTAAATTCACAAAGTTTCATTAACATTTAATAAACTAATTAAGTTTTAAAGTTATAAAAAAATTATGATCTCAAACTAAGTTTTTCTGTCAATCAAAAGTATTTTGTATTTTTTATCATTCTGTATTTTTGTTTATTTGATATTATTTTTGTGCTTTTTTTATGCTGTAAACATAAAATTGTTATTGTCTCAAAACTATTTTTATTCCAATAATCAAAAATATATAGTTGCTAACTTATTTCACTGTTCTGTTTTTTATTATTAAGTTGGTCTGATATTGGGAGATCAAAACTCCATTTTTATAAAAGTAATCAATTTTTTTTTTTTAATTTTTAGACTGGAACCTCAGTTGCAAGCAGACGCAGATCTCGCCAAGACTATTCTAAAGAAGAAGTTAATTACATTTTAGAAGGTATCTACTGATTATTTTAGCTTAACAAAATAGTTATATATATATATATATATATATATATATATATATATATTATATATGTGTGTGTATATATATATATATATATATATATATATATATATATATATATATATATATATATATATATATATATATATATATATATTATATTTGGTATATATACAGCAAGGGTTGAATTAAGCGATCATGGGTCGCAAAATCCAGAAAAATATCTGGTCTTCAAAATTTTAGTTTATGCAAAGTCGTATACTTTGTTTTCAAAGAGCAAATTATTATGTTTGTTAACAAAAAAGTTATAAAAAACAAAACAATAAACTCACGACTACGAAAGTAATAACACTCTAGTCACTAAACTGCATTATAAAATTTATAAAACTGTAATAGTGTTATTACTTTTATAAAGCACTTATAACTTTTAAAGTTTTTTTTCTTTGTTCAAACAACATTAGTAATTCCAAACTTTAATCAAAGTAAATAAGCATCTAGAAAAAATAAATTGGATATTCAAATGTTGTTAAAAACTTCAGAAACTTTTACAAATTCACTTAAACAACTTTATAATAAGTTAAGCATTATAAAAAACTTTACTAATAGTCAGTAAAAACATGCATTAATTTTAAAATCAACCAATAAAAAGTTTTTATGGGTTAATTTTAAAATTAACGCACGTTTTTACGGAGTATTAGAAACGTTTTTCATAATGCTAAACTTTATACAGTATGTCTTAATGAAGATTTTTAAGTTCCTATGTTGTTAATGAGTTGTAAATATTAAAAAATTAAAAGTTAATGAGTTGTAAATGTTATTTGAATATCCCTCTATTTTTCTAGATGCTTTTCTAATTCAATTAAAATTTGGGATTACTTATTTTGTTTGAACAAAGAATAAATTATAAAAGTTAAAAGTGCATTATAAAAGTAATAACACTATTATAGTGTTATTACTTTTATAATGCAGTTAGTTGCTAGAGTGTTATTACTTTTGTATTCGTAAATTTATTGTTTTATTTTTTATAACTTTTTCCCTAACAAATTAAAGTTGATTCGCCCCTTGAAAACAAAGAACTCAGTTTTGCATAAACTAAAATTTTGAAGACCAGATATTTTTCCGGATTTTTCGTTTCGTAATCACTTAATTCAACACTTGTACAGGGGCTGTTTAAGGAAAAAAATTTGGACAGCTATACCCCCTCCCCTGTCCTTGGGAGATATAGCGGAGTAATGCCGAATATAGGCGTTTTTTCAAAACAAGATTTGTCGTAAAAAAAATGTTTTAAAAAAACGTCCTCATTTTTATATCGGGCATCCTCAATTTTTATATTGGGCGGTGCCCAATATAAAAATTGGACGCTATTGAAAACAGTCTAGAATAGCTTCTGATATACATATATATATATATATATATATATATATATATATATATATATATATATATATATATATATATATATATATATATATATATATATATATATATATATATATATATATATATATATATATATATATATATATAGGCTTGGTTGGGAAGCGGGAGTGATCGCTCTCGAATACTGACCATGGAACTTTCTGTTGAAATGT